ATATTAGTTTTTGAAAATTTTTAAAAGTATACTAAAGCGATCTGGAGTGTGTTTTTAATCCAAATACCTTATCATTTGAAAATATAATGCAAAGCAATTCTCAGTACGTCACTTCTCGCTTCTAACGTCACGACTCTTAACATGGCTGGTCAACATGAAGCTTTAAGATAAATACTTTCATACTGACCGCTACAAAGGAATCCAAATTCATGGTCAGAATATATACAGTAGAAATTTCAATGGGTATCATTGCACGTTTCATAATTATCAACAAGCTCTTCTTGGCATTATTGTCCATGATTGGCCACTCCAGTTGAAAAATGCTATCTGTCAATTCGAGACTCTGCAGAATAATATGTTAAATGTCATATTTATCATTTTTAATAGCTTTGTCCTATTAGGTATACCTTCAATTTGACTTTGTTTCCAAACCAGCAATAAATAAATATCTGCGTCAGCATGCAGCTTGTATACACAATTAGTGGAACATGATCTGAGTTTAAAGTTGACTTAGTCAGTTGATACAAATTTGAACAAAATATCATCATACTTGCCACAAACTGAAACCCGATTATTTTTGTAAATTTTACATTCACTATATGCGCAAACCTGCAAAAGAAAACCATAATATATGTATATATACATTGAGCAAACGAGATATGTAAATGATAAATTATCATTTCTTATTATGACTGCAATACAAAAAATTACAAAAATTTATAATACGCACTGACAACTGATTCACAGATTGATGCAATAATAAAGCGCAGATAAAAATATCCGTAGTTAATACAGTGATAGAAGCGTGTGATGGAAGTCAGTACAATATACATATAATTACATTTGGACAATTACAATAAATTAAACAATAGTAAAATACTTTGTGAAGATTTTATAATGCGTCTAGTCATTTGGAAATAGCATAGAATTTTATATTTCTTTCTTTGTAATACAAAAAAATAACAGAGAAAGTATGATATGACTTCCATCACAGTTTCCGCCAAATGACTCACACATAGTAGCAATGCTGACTGATATATAATTTTCCGGCGTTAAAATGATAACTAACTCAAAAATTCGATTATGATGCCGGACGCAGTAACCCACAGTAAGTTCATTGTTTGAAATTTTCTTCAGGCGATATTCCAAGATCTCAATTTGACAACATATGTGCATTAAGAATCCGCACATAAGACTATCTGTTGCGACGTTTACCACAGCGCAATGGCATGCACTTAACATTTGTTGAGCATACGTTAAACAAAATATCACATAAGATGAATAATCATATGGTACCCATTCTCTATACTTTAGTCTCTTGTGACTAAAGTCAGTGAATAGCGATGACGAAATGACGAATGTGCATGTTGTCGCAACTAAGATTGTATATCGTAATATATTGTTCCTAGAAAGTATCTAAAGAGTTATATCAGTTTTTTTATTTCTAAAATAACCTATATAAAATAACATACTTGAGAAAATTATATATGTATGGTATATTCCTTATAACAAATAAAATATTTCGTATTTTCTAATAACGTATTTCTAATAAAAATGAACAATCATAAAAACTATTAGTAAAAATAATCTTATTTTATTTCAGACTGGAAAACACATTTCATTATTAAACTATTTATAAATTTTTGTTTGAAAATTTCTTAATTATTCAAGTTATTTTTTCAATAAGAGCAATATTCAAAATTAAATTAAATCTTAAATACTTCAATATTTTCAAAACATTTAATTACGTGTGCACGGAAAATATTATATATACATGAATAATATAAATGAAATAAATATTTTGCAAAGAATAATGTTCAACAGAGGACCAAAAAGTATTCAAGTACAAAAAATATTTACCGTATTATCTTGTCATATTGTTGCCGAATTTTCATCTCACCCGAATCTAATGGTTTAAACGGTTCTTCAGTAAGATAATTAATTAACGCTACTATATTTTCATAATTTAAACACATGATAAATATTTTATAACATGAAGCTAACATGGTCAACATCATATTCAGATTATTTGTAAAGTCATCAGGATTGTCAACGTACAGAACAATGTCCATAATTTGCAATATTGTAAACGTATACAACATAAAAATTACGTATAATCTGTAGATATAATAAACTGTCCGTTTAAATGAAGACGTCCACGATTGCGGTCGAAAACATCCAGATATCGTAATGATTGTATGCGTTAACTTTAGAATTTGCATTATATCAGAATATTATACAATTTAATTGTGTGTGTGTGAAAAACGAAAAAAATATAAAAATGCACAACAGAATTCGGTTAGATAACGTTGTATAACGTGATATTAACTGTATTAGTAATTACGAAAATGTTTGGTCAATATACATTGCTCTCACGATAACTTTAACTTGATAGAATCTCTGTTATACAAGAAATAAGATAAAATAACATCATTTCAAGAGGGTATACTGTAAAAGGTCTATAGATTTATGACTCTACTTCTCAACGATAAGAATATTTTTTATCGACGTTTCCTACTTACTTCTGCATATTTAATATCTGTATCTTCATAACACCATAATTGGAATAATTGTATTCAATACAAAATTTCCTGAAGATAATGGGATAAATTACTTCTTAATACAATTTTTATTATAAGACGTAATATTGTCATTGCGTTATATCAAGATAAAGGACGAAATTATAATGTAGAAAGGAGAAAGAAGAGAAAAAACTTTTCAAAGATTTTTCAATAATATATGAGACATGAACCTCAGCAATATCTTGACATATGTCTCTAGTAACATCTTTTCATTATACTGTCCTTAAAAGAAAAGAGTCTTCTTCTAGTATTAGAGGGACATAGTATTGATTTATACATGCAACATGATCAAGCGAAGGAATCACATTAGAGGTACACATTTATAAGATTATAATCAAAGAGATAAGAGAATTCAATAATACTTAAATTTTTTTACGTTGTGTTAAGCATAGTTAGTCCCATCAGCAAAATACGATATTTGCCGCCATTCGATTAGCATGTTGTGCGGAATTCTCGCATTTTAGCAAATTAACGAAACGTGTCTAGCGTGCAACTTCATTTATTCTTTGCGAGTTGTCTTTACGAGGGATCTTTAAAAAAACCTCTAGTCGCCTCTTCCCATTTTCTGGCTTTTAATTCACCTTGCGCTGCAAAGCGCCAAGGGCGCTTACGCGCGACTGCGTGGCTGATTAAATATTGATATATTATGAAAATAATATCTATTTACACATATTAATATTCTTATTACTAAATTATTATGCACTTACTAATATTTTTTATTACATTATATTTAAAATAACATAGATAAGAATTTATTATTATTAATACATATGTGTTATGTGCATATAAAAAATTCAAAATGGATTTCAAATAGACTGGCTAAATCTGCTATCAACATAATAGCTTATTTTTATTATATTTTAATTACAGATATATGTAACTATGTAACAAAACAGAACGCATTTTACTTGTATTACTTTTCTCGTACTCGTACTAATAAATTATAAGCAGAGTATGACGTTTTGAGAAGCTAAAATAGTAAAACGTAGTAAAAATCCAAGTGACATTTAGTTTCAATTCGATAATAAACATTATACAAAATTTATTATACCAACCGCCACGAAAGAATCCAAATTCAAACCGATCATATGTGCAGTAGTAAATTCGATAGGCACTATTGCACGTTTCATAATTATTAACAGATTCCTTTTGACGTTATTAGTCAGCGTTGACCATTTTATATGAAAAATGCTATCCACTAGTTGAACGCTCTATAAATTAATATGTACAATAATATTTTGATGTACTTGAAAGCTTTCAATATATAAAAGTATATTGAAGTATTTTTGAAATAATTTTCTATACCACATGTCAACATTACCATATGTCTACTTAGGTGTAATACGTAGGTGTAAGTTTAATGTGTGTGTGTCTGCTTTATCATCTTTATGCATTACATGAAGAAAATGCGCTGCGATGAAAAATGAACTAGATATAGTTAAATTAGACACACCTTTGATTTCATTTTGTGACCAAACCAACAATAAATGAATATTTCTGTTAACATGCAGCACGTTAATCCAATTAATCCAATACTACTTGTGTTCAATGGCGATTGGCTCAATTGATACAAATTGCAGCAAATTGTCATTGTACTTGTCATAAACTGAAGTCCAACTATTTTTGTAAATCTTATATTCACTACTTGCGCATATCTGCAATAAAATTTTTGATTTTAGAACGTTATGATACAGGAACATAAAATGAATAGTGTTTATGCTTTCATACATAATAAATAAATTTTATTATAATTTGTCATATTATTACGAATTTTAAAAAGTTATTAGATGTGCGCAGGTTAGATTAACAAATTAATACATTAATGAAACAGTACAAATATCTATACATAAATAGCCATAATAGTATATAATTCAGCAAGTCCAATATATACATTTTAGTGATTATTTAAAATTGTATAAGCTTTAAAATCTAAGACCATTTTTTAGTATAAAATCTAAAATCTAAGTTAATTTTTTTATCAATCGTAATGCGGGTGAGAAAGGTAGAAAAAAGAATTATTACTTTCATGATTTTGCTAAATATACATATATGGTATATATAATATAATTTTCTTAATTTTAAAATTAACTAACTTAAAAATTAAATTATGATGCCATACGCAGTAACCCACAGTAAGTTGATTGCTTAAAATTTTCTTCAGGCGATATTCCAAGATTTCAATTTGGCAACATATATGCATTAAAAATCCGCACACAAGACTATCTATTGCAATGTGTACAACAGCGCTGTGACATACACTTAACATTTGTTGAATATATGTAAAGCAAAATATCATGTGATGTGAATAATTGTATGGTATCCATTCTCTATATTTTAGCTTCTTGTGCCTAAAGTCAGTAAATATCGAAGATGAAATGACGCATATGCCCGTTGCCGTGACTAAAGCTATGAACCGTAATGTATTGTTCCTAAAAGGTAACCAAACAGTTATATGAATATTTTTAATATAAACTATAAAATAAAATATTATTTAATAATAGTACTAATAAGTACCTACTAATAAGTACTTAAATCTTATTTTATTGTAGATTAGAAAACATTTCATTATTATACTATTATATTTACAAATTTTTATTTGTAATACACAAAATAATACTAATTATTAATAAACGTTACTTTCAGAATAAAATAAAATTAAAATTATATTTATATGTATCTTAAAATATTGTTAAGTGAAATAAATATTTAACAAAGTACAATATTATAATAAAGGATTGAGTAAGGTATTAAAATAAATGACATATTTACCGTATTACTTTCTCATAATGCTGTCGAATTTTCATTTCATTCGTATCTAATGGTTTAAAAGGCTCTTTGGTAAGATAATTAATTAACGCTACAATGTTGTCATAATTTAAACACGCGATAAATATTTTAAAACATGAAGCTAATACAGTCATCATCATATTTAGGTTGTCTGCGAAGTCATCAGTATTGTCGACATTCAGAATAATGTCCATAATTTGTAATATTGTGAACGTGTATATCATGGTAATTACATACAAGCTGTAGATATTATAAACTGTCCGTTTAAATAAAGACGTCCACGATTGTGGTCGACAACATCCAGATATCGTAACAATTGTATATGTGAATCTCAGAATATGCATTATATCAGGATATTAGTTATTGTATATTAATTATATGTGAGAAAATTATTAAACGTGTTAGTAACTTTGCTAGTAGTTAAGAAAATTTTTTGTCAATATTCATTTCTCAACTGTAGCTTGAGAGAATTTCTATTCTACCAGAAGTAAAATAAAATAACATAATTTCAGGAGGATACACTATAGGAGGTCTATACATAGACTTATGACATTACCTGACTCTCGATGGTAACAATACTTTTCATCGACATTTCCGACTTACTTTTACATATTTAATATCTGTATCTGCATAGCACCAAGATTAAAATAATTGTATAGAAGATAACATTTTCATTACTACATCAAGATAGAAAAGAAAATTATAACATAGCAGATAAAGGGGGAAAATTTTTCAAAGATTTAGCAATAATATATGAGATGCAAACCTCAGCAATATCTTGGTATATGTCTTTCGATATACAACACCTTTCATTATCTTGTATTCTTTGAAGGGAAGAATCGATATTCTCTAGTATTGATTTCTATACGCAACATAATCAGACGAAGTAGTCACATTAGTGGTATGCATTTATAAAACTACAGCCGAGCAGACAAGGATTTAATAATACCTAAATTTTTTGACATTTAATTTTTACATGCAATTCCGGTTATTTTTTCTTTAACTATGATTCTTTTAATTACTCTTTATAAAAATCTTGAAATAAAGTCAATGATATGTAAGTGCTTAGTGCGAAATATTACATATTTTATCTCCTATGATGATAATATGTAAATATAAAATTTATATAAATATAAAATTTAATGTGGACTTAAATTTTATAATCGAGAGAAAGGGCTCTGAGCCGTGACGAGATGTACGTGTCAATATTTAAAAATAATTTATTGTTATAATAACATAAAGATTAGACGTTTCGGTCGTATTCTAGACCATCTTCAGTACAGTAATATTATATAAAGTTTATGACGGTTAACATTAAACGTAAGTCGTGTACAGCATAGTACAAACGCAGTTTGGAATAATTATCATGTACCCAAATGAGTTATTAGTTTGTTGGAAGTGCTGTGAACTGGATCAATTTGTTCAGCATGGTCGTAGCAATGTAACTTGTCAACTGGCACGAGGAATGTCTTACAGTC